GACCGGAGCCCCGGCGGTTTGCTGGAAATAGGTCCTTCCTACCAGCCTCCCAGTCCAGCGTGCTCTCCAGAGGCCTTTGTCCCCTTCCCCTGCCGTGTGTGGGCTCGCCCAGCCCTATCCCCTCGACATGTCTGCCCCCTTCTGCCTGCGTTTGTCCGGCGTGTTGGAAGGGTGACGGGAAGGACTGCCTCAGAGTTAATCGGGACGCACACCACTGGGCCAAATCCCACTTCAGGATGCGTTGTTGTATTTGTCGGTCCTAACTGAAGTCCGGAATCAGCTAGCTGGTGCACTTAGTGTTAGAGATTTTGTAACTCTGAGCTGAGGTATACATAGCCCGAGGGCTAGAATTCCTCACTTAGATCTGTGGTACTGTGCCAAGCACTGTGGGGACTGAAGAATTATGTGCCTTCTTAAGCAGCGCATTGATGATGCGTGACTCATACCTAGATTGTAACATCTTGGTGACTCATACAGGATTATCAAGATTTTAAAGAAAGAAGAAATATTAAATTATCCAACTCTGCATTAAAAAAAAAATTCTCTTTTACAGCATCCTTGATACCTGGCCACCAGTATTCCCTGATTAACCATGTTCAGTGATGGGGAGACTGAAGCTGTTTGTAGAATTTTAAATGCTCCCTTTTCTCCATCCCAGCCTTGTAAACATTTGAAAACAGCAGTCTTCCTTGTCCCTAAATTCTTGTTATGCTGATTATTTAAATATGCAGCCCATTTTCTTCACCTGTTTCACATGGCTAATGGAGCAGTGACCCTCCCTGGGCCTCCTCTCCTTCCTATCTGATGGAGGCACTGACCAGTGGGATGAAGTGCTGGGATCCCTTAGTAGTGTCTGCTACTTTCTGTCCTTAGTAGTGTCTGTATCTTTCCTTCCCCTAAAACACCACCACCACCACCAGGACAATCACCAACTGATTGAGAGTGAGAAACACTGAAACACTGAGTGAGAAACACTGAAACAGTTTTAAGAGACAGGAGAGCAATGGAGTTTATACTATGTTATTCATTTATTTAATAATATTATATGCTAGGCTATGGTGTAAGCACTTTGGAAATAGAACATTCATTCTTAGAACAATTCTGTGAGGTAGATAAATGTATATTTTCATGATACTGAGAAGGAAATTAAAGAAGAGAAAAATCAAGTAACTTGTCATTAGGACTGTCAACTCCCAAGTGCTAAAGTGAGGTTTGCACCCAGGCAGCATCACTCCAGAGCTGTGTGTTTAGCTACTACTGTATGCTGTGTCCCCTCTAGAGAGTGGAAGCAGTGATGAAGTCAGCTGTCATGTACAGAGAAGAGTCAACAGTGGAAAAAACCAATTTTTTTACAGGTTATTATCTGTAGAAATGATAACTTTTTATAGTATCACTGCTAAAAACCTGAGTCCTAGGAGATACATTGTATAATTCTGGGGTGAAAGGGTGGGGAGAAAGAGGAGCAAAAGTGAATAGCAGCTGAGAGTTAATTAGAGGTCAGTGCCACAGCGGAAAAATACCTGTTTTTTTTCCCTCCTCCTGTCAAAGTCAGGGCAATGGCTTAGTTTCTGCATCCCACACATTATGCACAGCTGTTTCTCTATCGCAATACTGTAACTGATATTCCTAATAATTCTCCTCAATAAGAAAAAATTGTTTCACTTAATATAAAAAAAATGTATGAAGCATGGGTAGAAAACTCTGTAAAAAAGGTGAGTAGGAAAGTGTGAAGTATAATTTAGAACAGTTTGATAGTTTCAGTGAGTGTTAGGAGATTAAAACTTCAGTTCTCTAAAAAACATATCTAGAAGTTTTATTTTTCTAAGGATGTTGCATTATTATCTATTTTTTAAAATATCCACACAAGGATATTGTAAGTACTTGTTTTTTTTCTTTTTAAATTGGGTACCAGGGGCTGAACTCAGGGGCATTTGATTACTGTGCCACATTCCCAGTCCTATTTTGTATTTAGAGACAGGGGTCTCACTGAGTTGCTTAGCACCTTGATTTTGCTGAGGCTGGCTTTGAACTCAAGATTCTCCTGCCTTAGCCTCTTGGGCTCCTGGGATTTCAGGCATGCACCACTATGCCGGGCTATTTTAAGTAATTGTAAGCAAGGATTTATTATGTGCTTACTTACTAGTTGCTGCTCTTTAAGGGCATATATTTTAGTTGGTAAATAGGACATGTATAGACTATCCCATTCCAAGTATCAAATGAACATCATCAAATGTTAAGTGCTCTGAGAACTTCTAAGGCACAGATATCTGGGAGTGATGGTGCACACCAATAATCCCAGATACCTGCGGGGTGGAGTGGTGGCTGAGGCAGGAGGATCAAAAGTTCCAGACCAGTCTAGGCAACTTAGTCAGACCCTGTCTCAAAAGAAAAAATAGAAAGCCATGGATGCATCAGGAACGATGCTTTGGAAGAGACAAGATCTTGGGGTAAATAAATATTATTAGCACTGTACAGTTTAATAGAGAGTTTCTATTTTGGTTTTGTCTTACTGTTTTGACTCTCTTAGTTATAGGTCTTATTCTAGAAATGCAAGATGGTATCAGTATTAGAAAAATGTGTACAGTTTCTGTCTTAACAGACTAGAAAAAATATATGTTCCTAACAATATTCAGACAAAGCATTTAGTTATATGCAGCTTCTAATCATGATCAAGAATACCTAACAAGCTTTAGTAGAAAAAAAACAAAACGTTTCTTTCACCTAACAGAGCATCTACAGAAAAGTTACAGTAATATAGCAACAATCAGATTTAAAACAAACATTTCTATTAAAACTATAATCAACTATTGACTAGCACACTGTACTTGAAACCCTAGCTGGTACAATAAGACAAGGAGAAGAAATAAAAGGTATAGAGATAGGAAAGGAAAAATAAAAAATGTCATTGTGATATTACCTACATAGAAAGCTTAAAAGAGGCTATGAATAAATGATAAAAATTAGAAATGTTCAGCAACTTCACAGAATATGGAGTACTATAATCAATTTTATTCCTCTACATTAATAATTAACAGAAAAATACTTCTAAAGCCAGATATAGTAACAACAGAACAAAATATGAGGTTCCTAGGGGAAAAATGTGTGTC